TTTAATTAATTACTAAATATTAATTATTTATTAGACATATTATATTCATTCTTTCATAGCTCTCATCCCCGGCATGTGTCACAGAACGAACTTGTGCAGGAAGGAACACATTACCAAGCAGACTTCTCTCCTGGATTCCTCTCCAGACGCCTTCTCTGGGGGAATCCGATAGGCTGCGCGCTTGAATCCACACCCTGATGCGTGGATTCATACACATGAGCCGATTGGCTAGAGATGACATTTTTCATCTCACCTATGCTGAGTGCGGGAGAGGATATTGCTAGACACACTGCATGCAAAGCTGTAAGCGTGGCTAACTAACCATGCCGGAACACACTGGATCGCATAGTGGAAACCTCCTTGCGTTCTGGGGGGGGAGGGGGGTGTGCCGGTGCCATTTACATTACCGCCACGCACCCTCCCACCCTAGAACGCAAGGAGGCTTCCTGTATGCGGTCCAGTGCGTTCCGGCCACTAACCATGCTGGAACGCACTGGAGATGGTCTGAAGCGGCCCTGAAGGTGTTCACTTTTTTATTTTAGAAGTCTGAAAACAAAATTCAATTTCAGCCGGGCTTGAAGTTCCGGTCTAAAAATTTCATTTCGGTGCGTCCCTAATATTTGTAATATGTCGGTCGCACGCAATCTGTAAACTGGGCATGTTGGGTATCGTTTTACTCGTTGTAACCTCATCTTTTATATTTCATTAAAAAAATGGGTAATTTGTTGTGTTTTGGGGCATTTAATTAAATTTGTCACTAAATTTTGGGGTTTAATAAGGAGTTGCGCTAATATTGCGCAACATAAAAATTTTCAACTACCACCATTTTATTCTATAGGGTCTTGGCATTCAGAAAATATATAATGTTGGGGGGTTTTACGTCATTTTCAGGCCTAAAATGTGGAATATAACATGGGTGCAAAAAATTAAAAAAGGGCCTCAGTCATGAAGGGGTTTAACAATAACCACTAGATGGAGCTGAGGAGCACAAGATAGAAGTATTACATTTGTATGCCCCTCTCCTCCATCTAGTGGCCATAATGCGGTATTTCGACACATTTGACATTCTAAAAATGTTCATTTTTTTGCCTCTATTCAAATAGAAGGAATGTTGACAGAGATTTGAAAGGTGAATTGCTTTGCTAATTGTTTATTAAATAAAAGTCTTCAAGATTAAAAAATAAAACATCCTGAAGCTGACTGATGAAGGTGATGTGCTCTTTTCCTACAGTCTGATACCTGTGCGATGGAGTAGATATAACCCTGCGTTCCTCAACCCAGTCACAGATAAAGAGAAGTACCAACGTCCTTTAGAAGAATTCAATAAGGAAGAAAAGGAAGACTGGGATTTTAAAGCCACCAGACCAATCAAAGCATGCCCACCCAGTCTGAGTAGCTGTATTTACTATGATGAAACTGTGAGGTATTTATTTTAATTCTTAATAAACCATCCATAGGCCGTGCTTTTATCAATAATATGTCAACAAATTATGCCTACTCTATTAGTCCACATTCACACCTAGGTGATTTGTTGCTTTAAGCTAAGCGTGACGAACCACTCAAGACAGGGAATCCCATTCATTTCTATGGCCATGTTCACACCCGAGTGTTTTGTCACAAGCAGAAAAATGCCTGTCGCTGGAAATGTACATGAGATACTATATTTTAGGTTAGACTTCAATGGGAAACTTTGTGGGACAGAACGCTCAGGTGTGAACAGGCGCCATAGAAATGAATGAGATCCCTTGTCTTAAAGTAGTATTAAAGTCTCGTGTGCTATCACACCCAAAATGCTTTTCCTATCTCAGCCAGGTCCGCTGGCCTTTCCCATGCCTTCCTTGTTGGCCTTGGGGGCCTTATGAGCCAATAGATATAGGATGTAGCAGGGCTGAGCTCTCAACCCCTATTGCTGTTGAGAACATGAATGATCCAATATATTTCAGTATTTACAAGTTATTGAACAGTGGAACAGTATTGGACACCATGCCCGTTTATTTACAACCTGTTCATATACTGTTTGGGGGAAAAAAGCTGAATGGTGGGTCTATGATTTTGTCACTCAACCTCCCATTTGTAACTAGTGATGGTATGAGACTTTCATAATGCAGGAGGTGGTACCCATAGGAACCAATCAGATTACAGCCTTTAATCATAGAAATCTTGCTACTCCTGTAAAATTGTTCTAATACAAAATGCTTGATGCTTTATTATATAACTTGAAATGTATGTGGTTAGTACTTGTCATTGTAAAAGTAGCCAGGTATAAGTAGTTTGTGGTTATAACATCTGGGTGCTTTGACATGTCTACAGCATGTGGCAGATCATCTAAAATTAGTCCAAGTGTTAAAGTATTTTGTTTTCAACAGATACAGCTTTATTCTTATTTACAAATAGAACGGTTATCTGCATAGACACTACTAGTGGGGATTTAGGTGGATATACAGCCAGTTTTGTTGGTGATAGAGTAGGCAGCTGGTTAGTCTTCTAACTTAAACAGCAGGAGCTGTAAACTGCTACAAAGGACTTAAACAGACTTCAGAGTTTCTGTTGGGGATGAAATGCTGCATTGTACATTCATCTACAGAGGTCAGTGAGGACTTTTTAAAGCTTGCTTACTACTTGTTAAAAATATGTAAATGCTCTAACGTCCATAGCCTGGGCACAGGTGCACTTAAGATTTGTTTTTCTTTTTATTGCTATTGGCGTCCACTGTTGCATACATTTCCCCTTGTTTCCTGTCTCAATGCCAGAAATTCTCACCAACCAGGACACAGACAGCAATTAAAACCTGACAGGAGTGGCCCATAGTTCCTCTATAGATTCCAGGTCCAAGAGATGTGCTACAAGCTTCTCTCTCTTGTTGGTATAGGGTCCCCTCCCATTTAGCAAAAATCTATCCATCTTATCTCCTTTGTGTTGGAGAGGTTGTGGTTGAGAAGGATATCTCTTTTTATACTTGGTGGGAGTGCCCGAGCATACATCTCTTTTGGCAAACCGTTAGATTGCAAATGAAGTGTATTTTAGACATAGAACTGCCAGACAAACTGGGACCATTTTTATTACGTTTAGGTTCTCACCGTACAAACAATGTGCCATTCCTCATCTTCTGAACACTGCCAAGTGCTTGATTCCAATTTTTTGGATGCGTACGGTGGTTCCTTCATGGGTAGATTGGATTGTCAAGGTTAATGAAACTATGGAGGCAGAAAGTTGGGTGACCACTTGTTTAATTGTATATGGGCCACCTGGATTCATTATACCTCTGAGCACCCTGACTCTTGAGATCAGTTTGCCCCCCCTCCAAAGGTTTCCGTAGGTTATGCTCCAGGTATTACTCCCTTTTTTAACTGGATACTTATCCCTGCAATTGAACCAAGATTCCATTAGGCTGGTTGTTTGTGTCTGGTATTACTATTTTATCTACTTTTCGTTTATCCGCGCACCATTTGTATTAGTTCTGTTCTACTCTTCCTTACCTTTCTTCTGCTTCTTATCTTCCATTCTTCTGTTACTCTAGTGTTTATTTCATTTTCCCTTCCTCCGTTCTGGCAATTGCTGTTTAGCTGTGCACAATTGCATGCTACGTCACCTTTTATAGGCTCCTGTTCTGCGACGACACTAATATTGTATTATATACAGTTGTCTCACCTTTTGCCATTTGCAAAGGTGGTTGAGTTGGTGATGTCACTAATACATGTTATCATTTCCTTTTTTATGCTTGTATGTGTTCATCTAAATAAAGATAATAAATATATATATAATTTATCTGCAAAAAAGAAAAAGTTTGGACAGTCTGTCTTACTAGATCCTGTTTTGTAACATTGCATATTCACACACGATTATGTAATCATTCTTCTAAACTAGGAACTGACTTTTTTGTTTTACTACTATATAATTCCAGCAAATTCACAAACATGATGATGAAGGGTGGCGACAAGATACTGTCACGATCCATCATGAACAAGGTAAGTCTAATTTGTCAAGCTAGAGTTACACAAAAAATATTTTAATGATATCTCTTATCTAATTTGTGAAAATTAAATTCCCAAGGAAATGCTTTGCAGTTATACAGTACCTTTTTATAAGGCAGAATTAAAGGGTTAGTTCACCTTTATAGAAAATTAACCTATTCTGTCCCTAAACACCATCTCGTAGCCCTGAGCTAAGCACATTTTACAAAAAAAGCATTTATTCTGTTCTCATGCCTTTTTGTTCACTGTCACAAGGAATAAAGCCTTCTCAAAAGATCCTTGCAGTTTTCAATGATCTATCCTGTCTTCTTTTCTGGATGTACAAGCTGTTGAGAAGAACATCCCGTAGCGGTACTGTACTGCAGCAGGTGCCATCATTCTCTTGATCCCTCCACAAGTGCAGTGTTCTCCAGTCTGCAGACACGCTCAGCAGCTGTAACGAGACAGAGACAGTCAACTGCACATGGGGGGGGGTTGTTTGTATCAAGCAAAGGATGGCCCTTGCTCCAGGACCACTAGGGAACGCTCGACTCAATGGCTGGTAGAAGACAGGGCAGTCCTTTGGAAACTGCAAGATTTTTCAGGAAGGCTTCACTCCTCGCAATAATGTACAAAAAGGTGAAAACAGCATAAATGCTTTTTGTAAAATCTGAAAATCTGCTTAGTTTAGGGTCACGGGATGGTGTTTAACCACCCCCTGGCCGCCGAACATAGCAAAACGGCCGGACGGGAGCCTTGTAGATGCAGGTGGGCGTATTAAAATGTCCTTTGTGCGTGCTCGTGCTTTCTGTCTGGGACGCACGAGCAAGCGATGACTGTTTACATACAATCGGTCCGGCGTCAGTAGAGCTGGCCGATCGCTTGTATGTTGTGTCTTCATACGACACCCCAATCCCCCTACAGGGATTCCCCTCTCCATTCCTGCAGCGCTGCCAATATATGCTGACTTTTGAGTCACAGGAGGACATTAGTATATGCCCTCCTGTGACCCTAAAGAGAACTACAGCCAAAAAAAAGTTTGTCCATAGTTCTCTTTTAACTCGTACCATTCTGGGAATAATAATTTGTCAAGTATAAAATATTTATTTGTAATATGCAAATGTTATACCTATAGTAAATTTAAAAAAAGAAACAAAAAATGACCCAAAACATTTCAGTTGTTGTCATTGTACATATATCTAAAATGCTAGTTTTCTGACTGGTCCTGCAGCTGACCCTCTGACTAGTTTTCTCTTTGGGCCCTGTTCACACCTGATTTTGTGTAGGTAAGGCATTCACCGCAATGCGTGTTATCATGTGTTGTGATGTGCTGCTGGCCATTTAATTTCAATGGGCCCCAATGCAGGTAAAATTCCTGCTGTTTTTTCCCCGGAATATTTTATCATACCAAATTGGTTATGTAATGCGTTAGAGCCTAACTCCAGTTTGAAAAAAAACAAACCAAAACCTCCCCTCCGGCTCTGTCCCCACATTAACTCCTAACCGACACTAGCGGCTTTTAGTCTTCCAGGTTGCATGACGCCCAGGACCACCATGGAACCACCACCTAGAGGGGCATCAGCATGGAGCTATAGAAGTGAGATAGATTTGATAACAGGGCAGCTTTATTCATAAATTCCTCCCTCTGCAGCAGCACTGCGGCAAAATAAGACCTGCCCCCTGAATCCTCCTTAATTGTGCATTTGTGTTGAATGAAAGTGTCACAGGTCTGTGCAAATCTGTTGCAGCTTGCTGCTCAGGATTACAGGACTAGGCGTTGCTAATGCACAGAAAACCGTAGGAAAGACTCTTTAACTGTCAAACCGTCCAATCTCAACCTATATTTGTTGGCAATTTGCGTGATCAATGTTCCTCTGAATTGTTTGAAAACTTTTAGTACAAATATAAAGCACTCAACTCTGGAGGCATCAGTCCCATCTCAGCTAGTAACTAGTAAAACATAGCCACCTGTGCTACGGAAGCTGTCACTAGTGTTTATGAATACTATTCTCTTTTTAGACTTTAGAGAAAATAAAGCGAACGCAGTTGGAAAAATACTACAGCGCCTCCCCCGATGAGAGAGAAAGTATTGAATGCAATCCTTACACCGTCTTTCATCAAGCAATTAACAACTGCCAGCCCATCATTGGCCTCACAAGTGTCCTAAAAGGCGGGAAATCCTATCAGGTATTGGCACATGTGAGAGCACCTGTCTTATGACTTCTACATTTATTTGCTGCATTAACTCTAAATTTCTGGTACAGGTACCCACACCGCTGACAGAAAACAGACGTCGCTTCTTGGCCATGAAGTGGATAATCACTGCATGTAGAGACAAAAAGATTTCTCGGATACGGATGTATGAGAAACTGGCTGATATCATCCTGGAAAGTTTCAAAGGGGAAGGAAATATTGTCAAGAAAAAAAATGAGCTCCATAAAATGGCCGAGTCCAACAGGGCATATGCTCACTTCCGCTGGTGGTAGATGTGGCTGTACTCCTTTACCAGATCATCATTATACAGAGACTGTTAAAGGACAAGAACTGGAAAAGCGTATGTCTAGATTAAGAAAGGTACTACTGTGCAATTGCCAATTCAGAGGCATAGAGACCCAGGATTAGTTGCGATCTCCATGGACATCTGTGGAGGTTATCATGTCACAGAGTTAAAGTCCGTAGCCGGCACTCAGAACTTTTGTCACTATGTGCAAGTATGCCCAGTATTTGTACATTACGGAAGACTTTCCTGGCAAAGTGCCCGCCTCCAGCACTACATTATCATTGTGCCTGGTCTTTTTCCAGATTCAGCTATCTTGATTGGCAATCCCGGGATGATATTCATCCTTGCAGATGCCAGGATTGTATACAGAGCAATTTACTTAATTAACACCTCTTCCTCTAACTTAGCCATCTGTTTTTCCTGCACTTGTCCTTTCAGCTAGGGATGCATCAATACTGGTATTGGTATCTGTGCCGATACAGAGTATTTGGGCGAGTACTCGTACTCTCCCAAATGCTCCAATGCTTACCTCCGAGCAGTGGGTTATGACCCGGTTTCCTGATTGGTTAGGAAGCTGGCTTCACGTGTTGCAAAGCAGCCTGGCTTCTTATCCAGTCAGGAAGCCGAACGGCACATCATGAGTTGGCCCCCGGCTCTCTGATTGGCCAGGAAGCCTCCGTTCTTTCGCTAGAACACTGGCTTCACAGGCAATCGGGAAGCCAGGCAACGGGTATTGATCCGCTACCCAACTTTCTGATAATCGGGGGCTGAAGGCACCGGTACTTGGTATCGGCGAGTACCGGAAAAAAAAATATCGGTACTCGATACCGAAAAACTGGTATCTGTGCATGCCTACTTTCAGACAAGGCTAAAACCTTACTAGCTGTACAAAAATGTGATTGTTTATTTCCAGCCTGCAGATGCTTACTGTAAATACATTTTCTAGTGTTTTATTTCTACACAATAAATATTTGTTTCGCCTTTCTGTGTAACTATTCTTTAAAATTAGTATTTCTGTATTCATTGGACTGAACAATAAAGTTCTGCACGACTCAAAATATGGAGGAGTACACCTAAAGAGACTATTACCTTGCCTATTCAGAGCAAGGTGACAAAAGGCCACCCCCAGCCCCCTGATACTATGCCAGCGTGCAACCGCTGCTGGTAAATGACTAGCAGCCAAATCGCTAGGCCTGAGTCATAGGACAGAGGTAGTGAGGTGACCACTCCCGTCTGCCATCCAACAATACTAAAATGTAGGATTTTAGTGTCCGCTGCGGAGAAGGAAAGAGTGGTGGTGGAGAACTGGTAAGGTGAGTATCTGGTTGCAAAAGGAAATGCTTTTTTATTTTTCCTCCATGTTTAAACACTGTTCAAGTATCACTGTGATTTTGGATGACTTGTATTCAACTTTACAATGATTATATGAATTTGGAATGTTCATCCCTAGTAAGAGCACAGGCAAATAAGCAATCAGTAACTTTGTTTAAAAACTTGCTTTAGGGCTGGTCCACACCATAAACAGTGCATTCTAGAACAGTCAGCCTCTGGAATGCACTGTATCGCATTCCGGCCAGCTTCCTGGGTCAGAGGCTGTAGTAGTGCATTGAAGTCAATGGCACCGCAGCAACACCCCCCACCCACAGTGCGATTGCCCACACCAGAACGCGTGGCACATCATAGTGCCTGCAGCATTTTTACAGATCGCACTGGACCGGAATGCAGTCACTGGTGTGCCATGCGTTCTGGTGAGGGGCGTGGCTGCGGTGCCATTGACTTCAATACATGGAATGCCGGAATGCAATAAAGTGTGTTTCAGATGCTGACCCTGCTGGCACACACTTTATGCTGTGAACCGGCCCTGAAAGCGGACCTTTACCCATATCTTTAAAATAACCGCATCTTTAGCAATGTTTAGTAATGACAACCTACAAACACATACTTCTAGATCATTGCCGGCTTTGTATTCTTTGCATTCCTTATTTCTCTTTTCTTGGGCCAGGCTTGCCTGGCCCAAAAAGTCACACTCTAATATTTAGTTGGACCGCCTTTAGCTTTGATGACGGCACACATTCACCATGGCATAATTTCAATAAGATTATGCAACGTCACAACATTTATTTCCATCCAGAGTTGCATTCATTTTTCAGCAAGATCTGGGTGAGTCAGACCACTGCTTAAAGCCTTCTCTAACACATCCCAAAGATTCTCAAAGGGGTTGAGGTTTGGACTCTGGTGACGAATCCATGTATGAAAATGATGTCTCAAGGTCCCTGAACCACTCTTTCACAATCTGAGCCCGATGAATCCTGGCATTGTCAATGGAATATGCCCGTGCCATCAGTGAAGAAGAAAAAATCAATTGATGGAAAAACCTGGTTATTCAGGGCGGCAGCATAAAATTGTGAACCTGGACCTATTATCCAATGGAATGCTCTGACCTATTTGCTTTAGGTAAATTCAGGCAGTGGCTTTTTTTTTTTTTAGGTCAGGCAGTGTATATGTTAATGTAAAGAACAGCTTAAATTGGAGCCATAGTTCCCAACCTGCGGCTCAAGGGCTACATGCACCGCTTTGGTAAGAAACGGAGGGAAGGAGCGCAACTGACTGGCACAGACTTTGTGGGGGTGGATGGA